AAGGAGGCTGTGGCGGTGTTCGAGGAGATGAATACTGTTGGCGTGCGGCCTGATGATGTTGCGTTCATCGGGGTGCTCACTGCGTGTAGCCGTGCTGGAATGGTTGATGAAGGTTATGGCTACTTTGATTCAATGAAGATGGAATATGGCATTGATCCTAAGATCGAGCATTATGGCTGCATGGTTGACATGTTTGGTCGTGCTGGCATGGTCGAGCGAGCAATGGAGTTTGTTCATATGATGCCCATGAAACCAAACCCAATAATATGGCGGACACTCGTTGCTGCATGCCGTGCCCATGGCAGGCTTGAGCTTGGTGAAAGCATCACCAGGAATCTTCTAAACGAGTACCCGGCTCATGAGGCCAACTATGTTATGCTCTCCAATGTCTACGCGCTGACACAGAGGTGGGAGGAGAAATCAGAGATTAGGAGAGAGATGAGCAAGAGAGGAATCAAAAAGGTGCCAGGTTGCAGCCTTGTTGAGCTTGATGGGGAGGTTCATGAATTCATAGCTGGAGATGAGTCGCACCCACAGTGGAAAGAGATATACATGATGGTCGAGGAGATGGCAAGAGAGCTAAGGCGTGTTGGGCACATCTCAGCTACATCAGAGGTTCTCCTTGACCTTGACGAGGAGGATAAGGAGGGCGCACTTCAGTGGCACAGCGAGAAGCTGGCGATTGCATTTGTGCTACTGAGGACTCCTCCTGGTACAGAGGTCCGTGTGGTTAAGAATCTCCGGGTATGCTCGGATTGTCATGCAGTAATAAAGTGCATTTCACTGGTTTATAACCGGGAGATCATAGTGCGTGATCGCAGCCGGTTCCATCGCTTCAAGAATGGCTCCTGCTCATGCAACGATTTCTGGTGATGCAATTGTTTTTCACCAGGTTATCCTGTTTCTGACTGTCCATAAAAGAGGGCATTGCAGAAGATGATGTTAATGATAATTTCAAGGGAGCTTCTGCAAATCTTTCAAGGTTCGTCCATTCATTTGAAATATGAAAGCTTTCAGTAGCCAAGAGTTTTGATGCTTGTTCAAGGATATTGGAAGCTGTGTTGAAGTGCATACTTTTTATTATTTAGATATTTCAAATTGCATACTGAGTCTTACTGATACACATTAATGAAGATCACTTGTAGGAGCATATTGTATGCGCAACTATACATTTCTCAATTTGCTCTATGATCTTTGTCTTCACTGCTCTAAGCCTTTCCTCCACATCTCATTCTCCATTTCTTCGTTCTTCCTTGCCGATAAATGGATCTTTCTCCAAATTTCTTATCTTTCTTTTCTCATGGTTTTACTGGTTTCTGCCAATTCCCTGGACCTTTCCATGCCTCTTGCTTGCCATTAGCTTCTCACTGGGGTAGGCAGAGGGGGAGGGGGAGGCATAGACCGAGGCAACTAAGTCCATCTCACCAACCTCATGATTTGATGTCACATTTGTACCTGTGCGCTGCACTCTCCTTTGTTGGCATCCAGTATGCATCAAAGAGAGATAATTTCTTCCATTGTATAGGAGCTTTCTTTTTCAGACTCAACTTTACAGAACACATTTCACATCCAGTGTGCCCTGGACCCTGGGCCTTTTGCTTTGATCTCTTATGGCTCTCTGCGAAAACCTCCCGCTCAACCAAACTTATGAACTTTTCTGTATCAGATGGTAGATCATCTGACCTCTCAGTGTACTGTGCTACTTCTCCACCTCTTTGTAGATTGAGAACAGTCAAGGGCAGACCCAGGGCCCGGCAACCCTGGGCCCTTGCCTGGGCTCCTCTCCTGTTAATCTCTTAGGGCCCAGTACGTGGCCCATTTGCTGAGGATGCTTATCTGGGGCTGGGAGTGGCATACCAGGGGATCACAGTTGCATCACCAGGGCTCTTGCGTCTTCCTGGGTCTGCTACTGAGAATAGTACCTTGTAACGTTGTGGATGCACCTCACCACATCTGACAGCACAATACTACTGAAGCAGAAGGTATCGGATGTGCTGCCTCCTGCTCATAGCAGATTTATGGGATTCTTCTGTGCAACCAGACAACCACTATCATACTGTAGGATTTTGATAAGCAGCGTCATCTCCCGGCTTGTCAACGGCTGGTTGCTTGATTAACTTTTTCATCTCCATAGAGAACAAGCTTCTAATTAGGTATTCAATCCTAAAGTAGAAGTAGAAGCAGCATTCCGCGCTAATAGCTCAAAGTGATTGTCATGATCGGCAAGGCCCACACTAGGAGGAGGCAACGCCCTAAGTCTACAGTTAGTGGCTAGGGAATGGCAATAGGCCGAATTATTATGTTTTAGCCTTAATAGATGGTTAGGCCCTTGGGCCAGGCCCATTAGTGATTATAACCCCCCTTATATATATGAGGGAGACATTTAATGAGAAACTAAGCAAGTTTAGGGTTAAACCCTTTATCTCTTCTCCCTCCCTCTCTTCTCCCAACGCCGCCCCTCTCTTCTCCTCTCTTCCCTGCCGCCGCCACCCTCTCCTGCCAGGCCGCAGCTCCTCCCAGCCAAGCCGCCGCCTACTGCAGCCAGGCCGCCGCCGCCACACCGGCCAGGCAGCCGTACAGCACGCCGCCGCCGCCCTCAACCCCTCTGATCCGTCCCCAGCCAATCCCAGCAGCCGTTGGGGTTATCGGACGTGTTACAGTGATCATCCAAAGTTATTAACAGCCTGAGTTGTTTATGTTGGACCTATATTTATGACTACAAGAGGTTAAGAGGCAAAATTTCTACCACCATTTTTTTCGTCCAACTCCGATCTCTACTCGGATTCTGATTTCTTGTCCGGTAATCCTCTTTTCAAAGTGTCGTTCAGTTTGGATCTAATCTTTAATAATTTTTCTATTCTATCCATAATGTTCCTTTCCTTGATTTGTGTCCCCACCTCCAATGTGATGGACTCCCCATACGAATCCAATAGGAGAAATCAAATACAATACAATGACTCAATAAATAAATACGAACGATAATGATAGGAGAAATCGAATACAATAAAACAACTCAATAAATAAACTGAATACAAATCGGGTTAAATTGAACACCAATTAAACCAAATATGCAAGGCACCATATCAGCGCAGGTGAGGCGGCGCAAAAAGATGCTGAGACCGGAACGACAATGGCGCGAGGCGTGGAGACTACGGCTTGGGCGACGGAGGGGCAATCTGACGAGACGGCGCCGTCAGCCCGTCAAGGCTCCATGGCCGCCTTGGCAAGGCTTCAGGCGGACGAAGTTGGAGGCCTCGGGGTGTGAGTGGATGAGGCCACATATAGCAGATAAGGATGACAAAGAAGAGAAAAAGAAAGATAAAAGAAAGAAGAGAAAAAATAAAAAGAAAGAAAAGAAAAGATGGGTATTATGTTTCCCCATTGATTAATTGTGTCCTATTGGTCTCGACTTTAACAAAATTTGAACGATAAAGTGTTTATACACTATATAAATTCACTGGTATGCAGTATGCTCCATTATATTTATTGATTATTTGATGGTATAATTGGAAGTGGAAGTGAAAACGTGCGCTCTTGGCCCTTCGTGTTCACCTGCGCTATGGCATAGATGCAATTGATTACTTAAGTAGAAGAAAATATATTGAGTCAAAATTATATATACGTTTTAGCATAACGTCGAGTGCAATAAAATTATAATGATGTAAATGAAAAACTATAGCTTTCAAGACAAAACAACACATAGATATCAAACCTTTACCTTTCCTCCCGTTGCAACGCACGGGCACTTTTGCTAGTTTAGGATTAAGATTTATAAAGCAATTGAGTTGAGATAGAAACATAATGAGAACTTGCAGGACAATTAAGTGGAATATCTCAGCTGGCATAGCATATCATTTGTTTCATTATTTGTATTATCTGTTGCCTGTGTTGGAGCCGGTGGTGACCACCGAGTTCTCGATCTTGGATTTGGCTTGCTCGTTACCACGAGCCTTCGCTCCCACAAGTCCCAGGTCCACTAAAGCTGACAACATATAAGATCATGGGCCTTACTCAACCCAAAAGACTAGCCTTATAGGTTGGACTATCCCCCGCCTTATATGTTGTGCTCCCACCATCGATATCCGATGTGGGACTAAACCCCAACAGCCTGTTGGCCAAAAGGATGTCAAAAGTAGATTTGTATTGTCTTATAGACTTGCTGTTGGTATGCCTAGAATTTGGATCATCTGGTCTGCTGTAGTCAGGAGATTTAACCTTTTGTCGTACATAGGTAGATCAAATATTCCTAAGCTATTGTTGCATCGCCTTTCCCCAATGCCAAGCAACAGAGTCCCATTTCAAGCATTGAACTTCAGTATTAGAGAACAGAATGTGTATGGGGGCACTTATACAACCTTCTTGACCGTTGTGCAGGAATGGTGTCAGAATTTCAGCTACATCACTTGAAGGATATTTCCTACAGAATATATATTTCTGGTGATGCACCTACACTTCAGCATGGTGCCAACATGTGCTTGGGAAAAAAGGACTTAGCAATGAAATGGTAGGAGAATTACACTTCTGTCAGAAATATTTTGGAAAGCGGGGGAGCCACAGCGTTGTGAATTGAACTTAATGGTACATATGAACTCACTTCATTGGAAGATAGACAGACTTTGGTGGCAACAAGTTCCTGCCTAGAGCTTACTGCACATTGGTTTGGTTTAATATGGGAAAGGATCAAAGTTACTTAGGCAGACGAAATGAAATTAAACCTGTTGAAACCTACCAAGTTCCTAGCTAAGCTCTGGATTGTATGAACAAAGCTGCAAAGCTCATCTTCCTTGATCTGTGCTCTGAATCCCACAGGGTCACCCTGCCACTGCTCTCACCCGAACAACGGGATGGAGATGCCAGCGCCCTCTTTCGAGGGCAGGATCGAATGCTCGGCAAGCGCAAGACAGCGGGCTGGTCGTCCCCCTTCGACACCCTTCTTCGTTGAATGCGCTCAGCCGGTATCGATGCCGGTGCGCTCCTCTTGGCGAGTCGGAGTCGCTGCTCTACTTCTTGTCCTCATCGGTCGAGAAGAGCCTCCTCGTGACGTCGCGCACCCGCTGGGCCATACCAGACAGAGCACTCCTCGTGAAATACAAGGCGCCGGCGGGTTGCTGCTGGTCGGGCGCGCTCGCGCTAGCGCTAGCGCTCGTTGACGCCGCCTCGCCACACTCCTCCCTGGCTCGGCGCTGGAAATCGAGGACGACCGCTCCGCCCTCCGCGGCGGCCTCCCTCAGCCTGTCGCGCCACTCCAGCAGCGAGGTGCTCCCGATGGCGTGCTTCTCGGACACCTCGACCGCGCAGCGGAGCTTGAGCACGAGCGTCTCCAGCCGCTGCAGCTTCTCGTCCGTGGCCGCCGAGCGGGATCGTGACTGCAGCTTCCGCATCACCGTGGTGAGTGCCCTGTCGGTGATCCCGTTGATCACCGCGGTCGCCACGGTACCAGCCGCTTGCTCTGGCATCGCTCAGATCGAACGTGCGTGCCTGTGCTCGTCTTGCTTGAATGTGCATCGAGCAGAGCTTATCTGGAACGAAGATGGGAATTGACGCCCACAAAAATACGCTGCATTTTAAAAATATTTTGAAAGAGGACTCGCATTGTTTCTAACGCCATGTTTGGGTACTAGTAATAATAACCCAGAAAAGAAAAAAGGCAAGCAAGCGGCCGGTCGTGCTATGTTTGTATCGGTTGGCAACGACGAATGACGCAGGTACGAACGGAAAGGACAGCGGAATGCGAAGTCTGGAGCCAATTCGGCAGAATTTCAGATTAGACCGAAAGTGTAGTGCTTTGGACTGCAAATTGACACGATACTTCAGCCTGTAGTAGACTGCTGTTTGTAAAACCAACTGGGCTTGTTCTCTGGATTTGCATTGCAGAAGCTCCGGTGCTTCTTTTTTTATTTTGAGTTCGCTTGTCGGAGTCAGTGCTTGTCAGCCAGTCAGTGTTTTCCTCTTCTAATAAACCGGCACCAGCCAAGTTTATCAGCCCAGAAACCAACCAACGAACAGGCTCAATTGTATCATGCGATTCAACTTTTCATAATTTCAGTGTGGAATGATGCCATGGCGACCGTAGCAGTTTCTGATGCTTCTTTCCGGCAATCAGGTGCAGCTTGGTGCAAAGGCTTCGACACACAGACTGTTCGGGAGGCCGTATCGTATCGTGGATTATTTATTGCTGGCTGATTTGATGTGAGAGAAAAACACTGTTCCTAACTGGAAATTTACGATCGTTTACGAGCAAGCGAACAGGCTGTGCAGCAATCAACCGGCGAGCTGACAATGATTTTGTGCATTGCAGTTTGATGAAGTGGGTGATTGAACAGAGCAATCTGCAAGCTTGGAACAGGAACACAAAAGACATACTGTATTTAGGACATCTACAAATATACTAAGATATTAGTATATAAGCTTAATTGATTATAGTACAATTAATAACACTCCAGCATTGGGTATCGTGGAGCCCATGCCCATGCGATAGCATCCATATGTCACAGCCACATGAGCGGCCCCGTATCAGCAACTAGTGGTAAGTGGTAACTATACATGACTTGCCGGCCCAGCTGAGCACCAAAAACTATCCTCCACTTGAGGGTGGCGAAAAAAAAACAGTGCCCTGCAAGTGCAAAGCAGCTGGAATTGCCTTGTTGTCGAGGAGCTTGGCATCAACGAACGAAGATCCCCTCTGCGTAGCAGCTGACCGCCAATATGTAGACATGGTTTTCATCGTCCTCCAGTACCGTAATCTGTCCTCGTTTAGGATTGCACGATGTTACGCAGAAACTGCAAACTAAGGTCTGGTTTACTTCTTTCCCTAAAGTTTACTCTCTGTTCCATCAAATATTGGACATATGTATGAAGTATTAAATATAGACTAAAAATAACTAATTGCACAATTTATGACTAATTTACGAGAAGAATTTTTTAAGCCTTCACATGTGCTAATGACAGATTAATTAGGCTTAATAAATTCGTCTCGCGGATTACTGACGGATTCTGTAATTTTTTTTTAGTATCCGAACATCCCATGCGACACCCCATGTCGCGCGTTCACACCGATGGAAAAGCAGCAGATTACTTTACAATTCTTCCCCTAATCTTACTGTTAACTCTATAACCTCCACCATGCCGATCATCTTCTTCAGCTCTGTGAACCAAAGACGGCCGAGCGACTTGGTGAGGACGTCCGCGAGTTGCCAACCAGTTTCGACGAACTCGATGACGATCTGTCCTCTATCGACACAGTCCCTGAGGAAGCGAAACTTGATATCGATGTGCTTGCTCCGGTCATGGAGAACCGGATTCTTCGCGAGGACGATGACGGGCTGGTTGTCCACCATCAGTGTTGGTAGGTGAGCTTTCACACCGGTCAGCTCGCCCAGCAGCCGGCGCAGCCACACAGCTTGGCAAGCCACTGTGGCCGTCGCCACGTACTATGTCTCGCACGTGGACAGCGCCACCACCTTCTGTTTCAGCGACAGCCATGAGATTGGAGCTGACCCGAGCAAGACGAGCACGCTAGAGGTGCTCCGCCGTCCGTCGATGTCCCCCGCCATATCTGCATCGTTGAACACAGTGAGCTGCAACCCACTTTCGCCGGTCTTGAGAAAGACGATCCCCTGATCCACCGTCCCCTTGACGTAGCGCAGCAGCCGCTTCACCGTAGCCTAGTGATCCTCTCGGGGATCCTCCATGAAGCGGCTGACGTAGCCCACAGCAAACGCAATGCCCGGCCTCGTGTGGACTAGATAGCGCAGACCGCCGACGATGCTCTGGTAGAGTGTTGCATCTATCCTCGCCGCGGTACTGGCCTTCAACAGCTTCAGCCGCTCCTCCATTGGAGTCACGCATGGCTTGCACTCAGCCATGCCGCTCCGCTCCAACAACTTCGATGCGTACGCGCTCGGACCGAGCGTGACCGCCTCCTTCCCCTGTCTCATCTCGATGCCGAGGTAGTAGGAGAGCGCGCCGAGATCGCTCATTTAAAAACGAGCCGCCATCTCGCGCTTGAAGCTGTCGATGTCCCCCGCACGCGCGCCGGTGATGATCAAGTCGTCCACATACACGTCGACGACGAGCTCCTCCTTCCCCCGTCGTCGCGTGTAGAGCGCGTGCTCGGTTGCGCACCGTGTGAACCCAAGCTCGCCCAGCGTGGCGTCAAGCTTGGCGTTCTATACTCGCGGGGCCTGTCGCACCCCGTAGAGTGCCTTGCGCAGTCGGAGCACCATGTGCTCCGCTCCCTTGACGGCGAAACCCAGAGGTTGCCTGACGAAGACTGTCTCCGCCAGCTCGTTGTCGAGGAAGGCCGATTTTACGACCAGGTGATGGACGTGTCAGTCCTTCGCTACTGCCAAAGCCAGCAGCAGTCAGATAGACTCCGTACGCGCTACCGGCTCAAAGACTTCCTCCAAGTCAATGCCCTCGCGCTGGACAAAGCCTCGGGCGACAAGGCGCGCCTTGTGCTTGACAATGGCGCCGCGCTCGTTTTGCTTGACCTTGTACACCAACTTTAGGCCGATCGGACGGCATCCTGGAGGTGGATCGACAAGCTCCTAAGTCTTATTTTTCTCGATCGACTTCACTCCTCCAACATCGCTCGTCGCCAATTTGCATCGCGCTCGGCCAGCGCGAGCGTGGGTGGTTCCTTTGCACTGACGAGAAGCAGCTCTGAGTCATTCAGCAGCCGATCCGCCAGGGCTGAGGACCCTGTGCAACCGACGATGTCGTCCAGCCTGTGGAACCGCACCTCCTCACCGTCGTGGAAGGCATCCACGAACTCAGTGATGTCGCTTGGAGGTGAGGCGAACTCGATCGGCGTCGATGGAGTCCCCTGTTTCACCGGAGTGGTCGGCACATCACCTGGAGTGCTGCACCCTGGCTGCAATGCACGACACTACTTCTGGACCGCTCATCGCCACTCCTAGAGTGGTTGGCACCACTGCAGGAGTGCTCGGCACTAGTCTTGGAGTGGTCGACACCACTGCAAGACCGCTCGGCTCTGCTACGGGAGCGTTTGGCACTCGTCCTGGAGTGGTCGGCACCACTACGGGACCGCTCGGCACCACACCCAGAGTGCTCGGCACCCCTCTCGGAGTGCTCGGCTCTGTTGCTGGAGTGGTCGGTACCTCCTCTCCATCGTCTCCACCACCGTGGATGACCAAATGCTCGACGACGAAGGTGCTAGTGAAGCCACTAGCTTCTCCTGTGCCCGAACTATCCCAGTCCTAGGCCGCCTTCTCGTCGAACACGACGTCGCGTGAGACAACCACCTTACCTCCACGTGGGCCGTAGAGCCGGTATGCCTTGGTACCTTCCTCGTAGCCTAGGAGCACCATCGGTGTGCTCCTGTCCTCTACCTTGGAGAGGACCGGCTTCGTCTTCCTAACATGACCGATGCAACCGAATGTCTGGAGGAAGGACACGCTCGGCTTGCGCCCATACCAAGCTTCGAACAGCGACACGCGCCTTCAGGCCTTTGTGGGCGCGCGGTTGAGGATGAACACCGCCGTGGTCACCGCCTCACCCTAGAACCTTGTCGGCATGCTCTTGGCCTTCATCATGGATCGAGGCATGTCGACCACCGTCTGGTTCCGCCGCTCCACCACACCATTTTGCTGTGGCGAGTACGATGCGGTGTGGTGTCATACCACACCTCGACCACATGATGACGTGGCGAACTTCACCGAAGTGAATTTGCCGCCGATCAATCCGTAGCATGCGTAGCTTCTTGCCACTCTCCGCCTCCACGCTTCTTTGAACTTCTTGATCGCCTCTGCTGCCTCGTCCTTGCTCATTAGGAGTTGTAGCCACATATAGCGACTGCAATCATCCACGAGTAGGAGGAAGTACCGCCTACCACCGTTTGTGGCTAGCGTGATTTGCCCGCAGAGATCGCCGTGGACGAGCTCGAGAGCGTCCCGCCATGCGATACTTGGCCACCTTTTGGGAACGGCGACCTCCTACGCTTTACGGTCGGTGGTCATCACACAACTCGCCTACGTGCGACGTCGCCATCAGGAGAGTGGCCTCATCATCCTCATCAGCCTGCGCTAAATGAGCCTCAGCCTTCTTCTCCTGCTTACGATTTGGACACTCCTTTACCCAATGGTCCGTCTTCCCGCAGCGTCGGCAGACATTGGGGTTGACCTTCTTCTTCTCTGAAGAAGCTTGCCGCGGCGCTTGCCATCGCCACCGCGGCTGGAGAAGGCTTTCTCGTACTTCTTCATCCGGGCAACCCACTCCTCTCCTCCTCTGTCAGCAGCAGCTTGTCGCTGTCCGTCGTTGCTGTGGCCTGCTCCATGCGCTCGTCCACTGCGCGCACATCCTCAATGGTGAGGTTGGACAAGTCCAGCATCGTCTCTATGGAGAGAGCGATCTAGTTGTACTTCACCGGCACGGAGTGAAGATACTTGGAGACCGCCTCTTCTTCGTCAATGGTGACGTCGTAGCTCCTCAGCTTGCTGATGAGCGACTACAGGTGGAGGGAGAAGTCCTCCATCGACTCACCATCCTTCAGCCTGTTCGTTTCGTCGTAAACGATCGTGGATTATTTACTGCTGACTGGTTTGACGTGAGAGAAAAATATTGTTCCAGCTTATAATCTACGATTGTATACGAGCAAGCGAACATGCTGCTTGAACTTGAGGGTGGCGTACTCCTGCTTCAGCAGTTGGGCCGTCGCCTTCTTTGCACGGTCAGAGCCGACGCGCATCGCTGCAATGGCCTCCCACGCCTCCTTAGCAGAGTTATTCGCCCCCAATGGCTCCTTGTACTCCGCTGGCACAGCAGCGAGGATAGTCTCCAACGCTGACATGTCGTCTTCTTCTTCGCTGTTGCCCTTTGTCAACGGCATTCATGAGCCGTTGGGCTCTAAGCTTGACCTTCATGGTCACCGCCACTCATCATAGTTGGTGCGAGTCGGCGTCGCCAACCGGTGTCATTGACCTCCCGCACCATCATACGACGACAACCTCTTGTCATGGTTGGTAGCCACAAAGAAGACCAGCTTTGTTGCCCATCTCCAAACCGTCCGTCATCACCAGCGGATAGTCCGACGACGACGCTTATACGGCTCTGATACCACTTATTGGCCCCGGGATCTCCCGCACGGGTGAGCCGATCGCTCACCGGTGTTGCCGACCACACACTACGGCTGGAGATAGAAGAAGAGAGAAAGAACAGAGCGCACACACACAACACAAGCACCAGCGTTGACAGAAGCTCTATAGAGATGGCAAAACTGAACTCGCTCTCTTTACTGAGTTGTAGTGGGAAGCTATATATACAACTCTACCCATCTAATCCTAGTACATAGACATGTCAGGCTGCTACAGTGACTAAATATGACTGCATGGCTAACTTTGGCGCCTGCCTCTGTTATGGTTACAGTGCGGCAGGGGAGCCTTTCAACGCCTGCCCCTGCCACGCGTTCACACCGATGGGAGAGCAGCAGATTACTTTACAAGCTTCACTAGAAACATTCACATTTTCACATGATATGATATATGCCCTTAGTTCACATCAAGCTTATAGCAGTAAAAGGCAGAGTCTATGATATCTGCACTTAGTTCACAGCAAGCTTAACAGCAAAAGGCAGCAATGACAGTTTTCAGAAATAGCCATGACACCTTTCAGACTTTCATTCAGTTTTCAGAAAAAACTAACACACCTGTCTAGATAGCAATGATAGTTCTCAGAAAATAGCCATGACATTCAGTCTTTAGAATTAAAACAACTGTAACAACAAGCTACAAGTGGAAAAATGGCAGCATCATAGACCAGAATAGACACTGGACATTGATCCATCAGAGAAATTATTAAGTTCACATAGCTAATTTAAAAGGAAAAATGACGGCAAAAACAATTCTCAGTCCTTGTCCAATTCTTGAGTCTACACAGCATCATATATCTTATAGGGCAGCAAAGATAACCGGTTAGAAGCAGTAGAAGCCTTTGTCAGGTTCACTCATCAGAAAAAACAACAGATGGGAGTGCAAATACTACTTATGATGAAAATAAATAATTTAGAAATGGACTCCTAATTTCTTACTTAATTTAGATAGTTTCATGAAAAAGGGCCCTCCTAAGACACTTCATGGCAGCAACTCGCTCAGCCTTTTTCTCATCGGACATTGAACTTGTATCCTGTGAAATGGGGTTGTTATAAGCTTCCATCAACTTTGATTTTTTTCTCAACCTTCTTTCCCTCTAAATCAAGCTTCTTAAACTGTTTGGTCTCTTGTGCTGTAAGCTGGGCAAGTTTTGTGGTCTTGAGCTTCTCAGATGATAACTTTTGTTGTAGTTCCCGTACCTTGATGTTGTTTGCATTTGTTTCCTCCCAGAATTTGCTAAATCTGTCTAATTTTTCCAGATCAATTGCAGATTCTTTTGAGTTTCCATCATCATCTGAGCTGAGTCGTTTTGGCTGTCCTTTTGCAGCTAGAGCTGCCTTTTTTGCTGCCTTCTGACCTATTGGTCGCTTTGGCATCTCTTCAAAAGATTGATCCTTTTCCTCCCCTTCTCCTTCAAGGTTAAATGCTTTTCTTTTATGTGCATTCCTGATTCCTCAACTCTTCATTGTATGTTTTCCACTTCGCCACTTCACAGTAAGTATTCCAAATCTCCATTTGGACAAAGGGTCCTAGCTTTGCTTCTTTGTTGTCTACCACCATAGAACTTGTGGGCTGCATCAATCCACATTTGAAGTAAATACTTGTAAATACTCTTTCGAGCCTTCACATAAGAACACTCGAAGAGGTCAGTCCATCTGTTAATCTTGTGCCATCGATCCTTGCATTGCTTCAGATTCCTTTTCCAATGTGACAGGGTCGTCTTGTTGTATGATTCAACAACATCACCCCAGTATTGGTTACCACCCCTATCAGCTCCACAGCTAGATTCCGTTGAATTTTCTATCCAAGAGCTCATCAATCTAACATCCTCTTCCCCGGTCCACATGATCCGCTTCTCAGTCCTAGCATTTTCACTGTCACTGTCAACATGTTCAGGCTGCTGCTCAGATAAGGTTTGCACTTCTGTCGGTGAACTTCCTTCAATGTTGGTACACATTGCTATGTTCACAGGGCTGTTGTGGACGGGTGCACCAACCAAATGAAAATTGTGTGGCTGATTACCAAAATAGCTCATAATCCCACCAGATGGACGTGGGACTTTATCCCTGCAGCAAACATAGATAGTACAGCAAGTTAGCTAACACAGAGACAGAAAATGCTGAATTATGTACTACTACCACGCTTCATTGAACATTTAAATAGATGGACATCAAACAGTTTATGCAGACAGAAATATCTAAAGGTCTTGTAAAGTCATACAGCAAAAGGAGCACACTTTGGAACCATCAGTCTTTAGAACTAAAACAACTATAACAACAAACTACAGGTCCAGAGAGTAACAGCATCACTCCACAGTCTTACGACAACTTAGCTAATTTAAAAGGAAAAATGGCAGCAAAAACATTTCACACTAACAGCCATGCTGTATTCAGAAAAACAAGCTCTGTTCAGAAAAGTAATGACAGTCTAGTTTTCAGAAAAATAGCAGCACGGTCTATTTGTGGGTAACATAAGATTCAGGATAAAAAAAAATGGATCATCTGTAGCTTGTAACTCCCCAAACCTGGCTGATTGGCATAACTAATTTACTGATTGGCGTATGGGCATAGTATCATCTAGGTGCTAGTGCTAAATAACCCAACTGTGTTTTCTAAAGAGTAGCCCAATTGACCAGTAACGCATGAAACTAATACTACAAAACATCAGCTAAGAGTAGCCCAATTGACCAGCAACACATGAATGACCTTTTGATTAGAACAGCTATACATGTGCATCTTTCAATTTCTTGTGTGTACAGGAAAGCAGGAATGATCAGATGTCTGTTCAATGTTAAATCCAATGGCAAATCTGTGCAACATATATGCCTTGATGCATCCTTGGCAACAAAGTTTGGTCTCTCCAGTACCTTACATGGTTGACATTGCAAATCTAGATAAGAAGCACATCACAAATAAAAGCTCTATTTGCAGTCAAGAACCATAAGTAACGAAAACTAAATAGACTCTTCTTGTCTTTCCAATTCTTCAAATTAAATAAGAACAAGTGATTACCATGATGGATCCCAAGCTGCTGAACACCCAAACGAAGGAGAAATGGGATCAAAGCCGAATTCCACCAAGCAGTAGATGGTGAAGGTGGGAATGGAAACCCACTGTCTAAAACTATTTCACAGAATTTGGAGCTTTTTATAAAAATTTTGTGTTTCTAGATAATTATATGAATATAAAGATAACACTCTCAAACTTATTCTAAAGAGACTAATATGATGTTATTTTTTACTTTAACATGTATATAATTGTAGTGCTCAAGTTTTCTCGATGCCGTCATACTGGTAACAAGCTTCATAAGAAAAACAAAACGTGCGATATAGGAATTGACTTTTACAAATTCTATTGTTATATAAGCCTCTACTATAAAGTAAAAAAATTGGTATACAGCCGTTAGTAGGAAGAAAAACCTTATAAATATCATGCACATTCAATAAAGAAATACTTTGAGAATTACTTCTTAAAATCACAAAACTGAACAAAATGTTAACAAAAAGTAACTTTGATTTCAGAACAATTGCCTCCCTTATTTGATGGGCTTATTTACCGAAGAGGCATATCCCCTGTATATGAGAGATCAATTTACAACTTAATCTTAGGCAGCCAAGCAAGAAGATAGTACAAAAGGGACATGTTGTCTATATATATATTGTATGAAATAAGAATGAACAAACAACAAATTAGTATTCCCTCATTCAAAGTCATCTCCCTACAGCTTGCTGTTTATTTTCGGCTGTTAGCGTCTCATTTCCTTACAAGCCAAACAGACAACCATCTCTGGTACATCGACACTGGTCCGCGGCACCCAAAACAATTAAATAGAAATCAAGAGTATATTTGTCCCTTACAACATTGGCATTACCAAACTGTTTCATAGAGTTTCTTCGCAGTAGTGATTTCGGCCGCTACCTGAAACTACTTGTTCAGTCTCATACAATGTTAGCATGCATCAGAAGAAACCAAAAATAATCCATTCAGCCAGTGAGACCTACGTAAAACATCAGTAGGAATAAAAGATAATGTCATACTGATAAAAAAATGGTTGGACAAAAAGAAAATCTAATACTGTCCAAATCATATTAGTAGCTTAATAAGTTACACAGCAAGGACTAATTCAGAGAAGAAAATTGAAGTTAAGGATAAACTTCAGCCATGTGCTAGGCAGAGAAACTAACAAACATGCACGTGAGGGCTCAAATTCAAACCCAGCTCATAAATAACCACAACTTAAACTTGGATTATGTATGAGCAGTCAGAGATCAGTAGTGGTTCTCTTGCAAATGGACAAGGCCTGCACAGCTGCTAATAAGCATGAGTTACAGTTCCACCATAGACCATACGCCTGAACCACAAAATGATATGCTTAGATTACACTCTAGAGGGCACAACACCAGCATGAGCTGCAGCATAAGCATCTGCAAGGCCAGGAACAGAGTCCTTGTGACAGTCGATGAACTTCGATTTGAAAGTCTTCTCTCCTAATGTAGTTATTGTGACAAATTCTTTATTGCTATTCAGCAAACCCTTTTCCTGCAGGACCTTCATGACATAATGCCGCGGCACTAGCCTCTTCTCCAGGCTGTATGCGAGCAGGACAGGCCTTTCCACAATGTTCTGTGGCTCCATCGCAGCCTCATTGACTAGGAACTTAATCTTGCGGAGAAGAATTTTGTCAGAAAATCCTAATATAGCTGGCATCTTGGACACTGCAGTGGAAACCTCAGACTCAGAACAACCAAGAGTCATCTTAAAGAACTCAAACTTGGCAGCAACCTTCTCTTTGGAATTACAGGCAAGAGTGGCCACTACGTGCCTGAACATCCGCGAAGTAGGAGGCACCCCAATTTCTTCCGCCCGCAGCAAACACTCCTTCAAGCGTTCCAGGTTGAAGGTAAGCACCCACGGGTTGTTTGAACACAGCTGGGCAATATCTCGAACACCCCACTGACGCAGCAAAGCAACGTTAGGCTTGATTAACCCCCTCAAGGCTCGAATTGAGGAGGCGAATATTCCTCTTTAGGGCCACCAGGACCTGCTCAAACGAGCCGTAGAAGGAGATGAAGAATTCGAGCTTGGGAACGACGTCGCTGCGGCGGATAGCATCTGGGCCGACCAGGAGCAAGCGAACGATTTGGGGTGTAGAAAGACCGACGCGGTCGCGGAGAGCCAGAATGCGGAGGGCGATGTTCTTCACCGAAGCGCGGAGGAGCAGCGGGTTCGCGGAGACGACGGCGGCGATGTCGGCGCGGGAGAGACCGGCGCCGGCGAGCAGGGTGATGATAGCATCGGGATTGGAGGCGGAGAAGAGGCGGGAGCGTGAGATCTCCTCCTTGTTGGATTCTCTGGATAAGTCGCGGAACGCCTTCTTGGACACCTCGCGGGCTTGTGCTGGGGCGAGGCCGCAGGAGGCGACGAGGTAGTCCTCGAGGGAGAAGGGCGCGGGGGAGGTGGAGGTGGAGAGGAGGCAGCACGGGCGGGGGTGGATGGGGGCGGGCAGCGGTGATGCGGCGCGGAGCAGAGGGAGGAGGCGATTTTTTAGGCGCAACATCACGGCGGCGGAGGAGCGGCGCCAGCGCGGGCGATGACCGGGTGCGAGACCTGCGAGGGCCAGCCAGCTGCAGCTCTAGGGAGTAGGGACGCTACGTACAACGGTACAAGGCCGACAAATCCCGCTCCGCCAGCCCAGCGCCTCAGCCCATTTGATGCGTAAGGGGTCGTAGCCGAACTGGAAATTCTGAACAAAAGCCCACCTGCGGCAGTTTCAGTCTTGCAGTTAACAATCAATCCTCTTTGTCTCCTTCTATATATATATACTAGTCCATCACACGCGTCCTCATGGAGTTAGAAATGCAATCACAGATCTAAACGTGTCTATATATTTTTTTCAAGATCAGAGCATGGAATTAGACAGTATAGATAAGCTAAAATATTCCCTTTTTTTACATATAGGCACATATTTGATATTATACTACAAGCAGGATGGGTATATATATTACATAAAGTGATCACATGGATTTAGTAATGTTCTTAGGTCATGACATGGGATGGTACTTTACTCATTGCATAACATAGAGTAGCACATAGTGGTTTTGTACATTGAGCAGTCAGGTTGATTAGTAGCAATCCATGCATAACCGAGGATATTCTAGGATTTTACATTGCTTATCCTTATTGGTAAGAGATGTCAGCCGTAGGTCCGATAATCTTACATAAGCTGGTTTTAATAGTGGATGGCAGCCACATGTTGTAAAGTAATCTACTACTCTCTACGTGCGGCAGGGGCAGGCGCCGAAAAAAGCTCTCTATTTCTTTGCAGACTTAGCAATGGCAAAGCAAGGGCAAGCGCCGAAAGGCTCTCTGCCATACTGTACATACAAGCAGGGCAAAGCGCCAAAGTCATTCCTCTTTGTCACATATAGTCATCATGCTGCAGATGACACTGACATGTCTGTGTATAAGGATTAGATGGGTAGAGTTGTATATATAGCTTCCCACTACAAGTCAGTAAAGAGAGAGAGTTCAGTTTTGCCATCTCCTCTGTAGAGCTCCGACCAACGCTGGTGCTTGTGCTATATGTGTGTGTGCGCTCTGTTCTCCCTTTCTCTTCTACCTCCAGTCGTAGTGTGTGTGCGAGAACGTCGGTGAGCGATCAGCTCACCAGTGCGGGAGATCTCGGGACCAGCAAGTGGTATCAAAGCCGTACAAGCGCCGTCGCTGGACTAACCGCTGGCGATGACGAACGGTTCAGAGATGGACGACAGCAATGGCGCTGTTGTGGCTGCCCATCCACGACAAGAGGTCGTCGTGCACACGGTGCGGAAGGTCAACGACACTAGTTGGCCGACGCTGACTCGCACCAACTATGACGAGTGGGCGATGACCATGAAGGTCAAGCTCAGAGCCCGATGGCTTTGGAATGCCATTGATAAGGGCACCGACAACGAAAAAGACGACATGTCAGCGTTGGAGGCTATCCTCGCTGTTGTGCCAGCAGAGTACAGGGAGCCATTGGGGGTGAAGAACTCTGCTAAGGAGGCGTGGGAGACGATTGTAGCGATGCGCGTCGGCTCTGACCGCGCAAAGAAGGCGACGGCCCAGCTGTTAAAGTAGGAGTACGCCAACCTCAAGTTCAAGGATGGTGAGTCGGTGGAGGACTTCACCTTCCGCCTGCAGTCGCTCATCAACAAGCTGAGGAGCCACGGCGTCACCATCGACGAAGAAGAGGCGGTCTCCAAGTACCTCTACTCCGTGCCGGTGAAGTACATCCAGATCGCTCTCTCCATAGAGACGATGCTGGACTTGTCCACCCTCACCATTGAGGATGTGACATGTCATCTACGGGCGGTGGACGAGCGCATGGAGCAGGCCACAGCAACGACGGACAGTGGTAAGCTACTGCTGATAGAGGAGTAGGCTTTCCGGATGAAGCAAAAGAAGTCTGGGGAAGCCTCCTCCAGCCGCGGTGGCTATGGCAAACGCCGCGACAAGGCTTCTTCGAAGAAGAAGAAGAAGAAGAAGGTTGACCCCAATGCCTACCGGCGCTGCAGAAAAACGGGCCATTGGGCAAAGGAGTGCTCAAATCACAAGCAGGAGAAGAAGGCTGAGGCTTATTTAACGCAGGCTGATGAGGATGATGATGCCACTCTCCTGATGACGACGTTCTGTGCACTACACGACATTGAGGCCAAGGAGAAGGGAGAGGTGATGGCGGTGGAAGGGCACAGTAAGGCTCTGAAGGCTGTCAACCTCGATGAACCGCATGCCCAAGTCCACCTCGGATGTGTGGGCAGCGAGCAAGAGCAGCGGTGGTACCTGGACTCTGGCGCCAGCAACCACACGATGGGCTCCAAGGAAGCCTTCTCTGAGCTCGATGGCAACATGACCGGCACGGTGAAGTTCGGCAACGGCTCAAGGGTGGCGATCTGAGGGTGCGTCACTATCATCTTCAGGTGCTAGAACGGCGAGCACCACGCGCTGATGGATGCATATTACATCTCACAGCTATG